TAAAAACGTGCTTGATAAGTTGCCAGTTCAATCCGCTGTGGCGATCCCGGATTAATAAAGGGGCTAAGCCGACAAGTAAATTGATGAATAAATGTTTACAAAACAATGGCAATAAGAATATGTTCTACAAGGTGGATATATAGCTAGATAATCATAATGTGATAATGTATGTATTTCAGACGCTAAAAACAGATTAAATATTATTTTCCAATGCATTCATGTATGTACAGTTTCTGGCAAATTAGTAAGTTAGATTGTTGTAAATTAGTAAACTAGACTCATTTCTTATGAATTCAAATAAAAATGAGTCTTTAACCATAAAAGTTTTTCCAGATGATTTGGCTGAGAAAAGGCTTTTAATTTCCTTTTTCGGTTCTTTTTTTATTTTTAAATGAATTTCTCCTCATATGTTTTCTTTTTCATGTTTAGCCTGGTGGGCACGCGCTCACATGCACGCGGGCGTTCTGTGCTGTCCGCTGATTGGCTGACACTCATCCTACAGCCCAGCCCCACTATCTTTTACTATTCGCGCGCTCAGTGGATCCGCACACTTGCTGAAGATCGAGAGTGAAATGCGCGTCGCGTCTACAGCCTGGATTTATTTATAAGGATCATGTGCTTCATTGTCACAGTCCGTATCCGTGTGATCTTGGAATACGCAGCGTGGTTTAACACTTGTTTGTAGTCATTTTTTTCTTAAGTGTGTGATTATACGTCCGGAGGTTCATCTTACGCAGCCATTCAACGCCAAACTTCTGCAGGGCTGCTGATCTACAGTGGAGTCTTGCTCCGTTTTGAGGTGAGAAACTCAAGAGATGCTGAATGATCTTTCACATCAGAAATGCTCGATTGACGCTTTCGAGTTGCGTCTGTATTTGCATGTTTCAATTTACTTGACGTTATTTACGACCCGCTATGCGTCCGTCGGTCAATAAATACGCGCAGACGAGGCAAAACTTGCTTATTAAACGTAATAAACATAATGAGTTTTTGGAGAGTTCATATGCGAAAGCTTCTACGTGCTGTCTAAATGTTTCTTCTAAAATTAGCGTTTTTCTCAGGCTCGTGTGTATTTTCAATCACTAATTTCAAGTATATGGAGATGGACAAGTCCTTTTTAGTGCCCCTAGAGTGAAATAACAAATAAAGGAGGCTGATACTGAAAATTTTTCATTTTGTAAAAAGATTTTAGACCATAGGCTTTTTTTTTTATATATAAATATATATAAACATCTGTGACAGCTATTGATATTGATGATACGATCTGGTTTTAGTGTTCTGGTGGTCTTGATTGAGTTTTAAACATGCTGATATGTGTTTATATATATATATATATATATATATATATATATATATATATATATATATATATATATATATATATATATATATATGTAAGTGGGTGTGTTAATTTTATACATTTTTGGTTATTTATTGTAATCTTGACTTTTACTGCTATATTTATTGGTTAAATGATTTCTATTGATATTATTTGATGGTATGCTTGCGCTATTTGATTTGGTCATGAAAACTGTTTTACTGAATGCTTGTATTGTTAAAATATTTTAAGTATTTTAATTTTAGTATAGTTTCATGGCACTTTAGGCAAGGTTCCTCTGTCATTGAAAGCTAAATATCTCAAGGGAGATTTAAAAGGATAGTTGAACCAATTCTGTGAACTTTTACCCGCCCTTTACTTGTTTCAAACCTTTATGATATTATTTATTCTGTTCAACACAAAAGAAAATATTTTAAAACATTTTGGGAACCTTCAGCCATTATCTTTCATAGTATCCATTTTTCTTACCATGGAAGTCAATGGCTAATGGTTTTCAGCTTACTTATAAATATCAGCTTTTGTGTTAAACAGAATTAAGAAAATCAAAATGATTTAGAACCGCTCGACTAAATAGAGAGTAAATTTTCATTTTTGGCTGAACTATACATTTATTATGATTCCTAACCTTGAAGACCCAGTAGTGATTGTTTGGAAAATCAAGGATGACATAAAATTGATTAATAATATAGCGTTCATGACCTGTACTGAACAAATTGTATGTGCTGCAGAATGAAGACAGCAGCTTTATGTTTATTTGGGTGTTTGTAGTCGTGGTCTAGTGGCTGGTTTGGGAACTTCCGGATTGCTACTGAATATTCCCTTGTTGGTTCAAGATGATCATTACCAATTTGTTTCTTCCCACTATCAAATAAGTTGTTTTGGTGTTTAAGCAGATTGAAAAGATTAAGCAGATACAAATCAGTAGCATTTGATTGTAGTTTTATTGAATTTTTTTGTTGACTGAAATGTTTCCTGAAATGCTGATCTGTGATCTTTGTGATTTGGCTGGACTTTGCCCCCGTGTTAGGAGTCACACAGGTAGCTCAAAGTGCTTTGTGCCCCACCAGTCTGTACAGCCAGCCAAGCCCTTTATTTACTCAAACACACTTGAGTAGTTTTAGTGAAGCTATAGCTCCCTTCCCCCTTCATCTCGAACACACACCTGCTCCTTTCCCAAGGCTAACATGTAACCCATTTTGGCAGAATCCTTAATTTGAGCCTGATGCTGAATTTATCAATTGATTTATCAAACAATGTTGTCACACTGCGGGATCACAGCAGTTCTTTTCCTCATTCCTTGATGTTCATTACATTGTTTTAAAGTAGCTGGTCATTACTATGTTTTCTGTTTGTTGTGGTTCACACAAAAGTCAATTGAATATGGCAGAAATGGCTTGTTTGAGTCTTTTAGTGGAATGTGAGTTGAAAGATGTTTCTGCAGTGATCAGACTTTTCTATTACTAGAGATCCTTGGTTGTTTGTGAATTCAGCATGAAGTAAGTGACCTTTGAGGAAAGGACTGCCACAACAACTTTACAGCTCCTTAAAAACAGTCCAGAACACTGGGTTTTACCAATGTAGCCTTTAGGTTTTTTTTTTTTGGTTTTTTTTGCTTTAGACATTGTTGTCAAGAGAAAACTGGTAGATATATTAAAAAAACATTTTGAAATCGCAATTTCAATGAAAATCTTATAATTTAATATTGTTAGTAAAATATATGTATAATGCTTATTATTGTTTTCAATATTGTAAGATACTAGTCTCAATACTGTCCAGTGAAAGGATAAAACTTAAACAGAAACTGTTTAAAAGGTATCGGAGCCCAGAAGATCAGTTTGTTTATCTTGTTTAAAGTTACTTCATGCTTGAGGAAGCTGTTTTGAACTAGAGACATGGTAATCAACTCTACAGTCAACATGTGGGTGGGACTGGTTGCTTTCAGCTTTCTGACAGTCATAACTAAAATGCAGCCAAATGTTCTACGTAGGCTAAATAAAAGCTCTAACAAAAACAGTGCAGTAACTGTGTGAAAGCTAGGACCTTTTTTGTTTACTTGTATGCTTTACAGCCCCTGTTGTGAAGACTGTGCTTAGTGTTTGTTTAAGCAGGACAGGGTAGAGGACGTGTGGCCGGCCATACTTGACACCCGTAAACAAATCCAGATTCCCCTGCTACTCATCAGCTTCGGCTTTGTTTTATTCCCTCACAAAATTGAGTCGTGCTGCAGCTGGTGTGTCTGCTGAGTTTAAAGGGGCTTTGACTTTTTCTGTTGCAGTTTGAGCAGATTTGCATTATAGCCCGAGGGTTTCACTAATAAGGTTGCATGGGCAGATGCGCAGGGGGATCCAGTTTTTTGCCCATATGATGGGACAAATTGGACTCGAGTCAACACTGGATAGTCAGAAATTACTTACCTAAAGTTTTAACAAGTGTCTATATAGAATGTGAGATGGATTTAAACTGAATGTGGTTCCCAAAGGCATCATTCATAAAGGACTTGACAAATTGTCAATTTCTGGTGATGAGCACAAAGTCATTTTGGCCTTCCTTGCTTTTCATTTCATTGACTTGTTCAGATGGTATAACACATGGTAAAGCAGATGCGCAGGGGGAGTTTGCTGCTTTGACCCTTTTGGGGCTCCATTTTGATGCTAATGTCTATGGTTTTATGAAGGGGGTTTTCTTGGGGGGGGCTGTGGAGTGAGCATATCCTTCTTCGTACAGCACCTCCTCCCTCTGCACAGGACTTCAGTCCAATTTTGGCACTCAAATGCCTGCAGGCTTGAATAGGCAGGCGGCCATTGGGGCTTCACATTGTTCGGGGTGTCCCTTGACGACTCGTGCCATAGCTGTGAATGCCTCCATTGAGAGGCCCATGTGCTCCATGTCCAGGAATCTCACTTAGAGTCACGGGCTGAGCTCCGAAATGGCACAGAAGCTTGTGCTGGCGTGATAGAGCTGCCCGCGTGATAAGGTGATGCGTTGACTTTCTGCTATTCCACGAGAGCCTTGGAGATGTGAGAGGGAGGGAGGCAACGTGAGCCAGCACTCTTTGTGTGGGTGAAAAACTGCATTTGGTTGTTTATCACCTCAAGCTAACGCTGACCGACTCATAGGACTCGTCTGTAACGGGCCACGTTTTGAGGAGATAATAAGAATCCTTCTTTTCAGAAGCGCTAGACTCATAGGTCACTCTGTTTTTTGTGTCAGACTGTGGTTAAAAGAGCCTCTGTTTTACACGTCCACGTGAGGTAAAAGCACCATGAAGATTAATTTGTTGGTGTTTGTGAGTGAAATCCGCCAGCGGTACATTCAGCTGATATCTTGGTGGATTAGAGCCAGCGAGCGTGAGTCTGAAATTTTCACAGAATGGAGATTAAACTCAAGTTCTCACAAGCTCAATCATGAAAGGTGTTTGCACATTGAGATTAATCACGACATGTTAATCTCTGCGAGTCGTCCATCCGAAGAAGAGTAATTTTCCACTCAGCCTCCTGTAATGATACTGGGGACCTTTCGTTTTACGCAAAGGTAAACAATGTTCTAAGGAGGACCGAGGATTGGCATTAATGAAATGGTTATTGGTCTATATCAGTGTATGTTTTTCATTTGAGGTTTATCTGAGGCTTATCTGACCTGCCTTTCTTTATTTTCTCAACAGGACAAAATGCCTCAGACGCCACCCTTTCCAGTGATGTATGGATCCACCAATGGATACAACAAGAATCTCTACAAGGCCAAGGAAGAGGACTATGAAGGCTTGTATTACCATGACAACAACCTGATATCTGGGTCCTTGGAAGCTCTTATTGAGCACTTGGTTCCTACAGTGGCGTACTATCCAGATGTGAGTGTGCAAATATTCAGCAGTTTCAGATATTGTTTTTTACTTTGAACTTTGTCAAAACATTGTAACCATAAAACACATTTAATAATTGAAGTCAGAATTATTAGCCCCCCTCTTTATTTTTTCCCCCAATTTCTGTTTAATGAAAGAAATATATATTTTTTCAACACATTTCTGAACATAATAGATTTAATAACTCATTTCTAATAACTGATTTATTTCATCTTTGCCATGATGACAATAAATAATATTTGCCTAGATATTTTTCAAGACACTTCTATACAGTTTAACGTGACATTTAAAGGCGTAACTAGGTTAATTGGGTTAACTAGGCAGGTTAAGGTAACTAGGCAAGTTATTGGAAAATTATGTTTTGTTCTGTAGACTATCGACTATTGCTTAAAGGGGCTAATAATTTGACCTTAAAATAGTTTTTAAAAAAATTAAAAACTGCTTTTATTATTGTTGAAATAATTGAAATAAGACTTTCTCCAGAAAAGAAAAAAAAAATTATATATATATATATATATATATATATATATATATATATATATATATATATATATATATATATATCAGACATACTGTGAAAACATCATCTGGCATATATTTAAAAAAAGAAAAAAAAATTCAAAGGGGGGCTAATAATTCTGATTGCAACTGTATGCACGCATCCATAATTTGGAGTATCATAATTTAAAATCATTTATTCAAAGTTATTATATGTAATAAATAAATACGTTTTTAATATGGACATATAAATAAAAACATTAAATAACTTTTTATCATATTTACAAACAAATAAAGGCAGCCGAAGTGATCATGATATAAAACCATTGAAAAATAATTCTACCGTTAGGCCTAAGCATTTAAATTAAGCTAACCAGATATGTTGTCTTGAAATATAACAGTAGCTAATCAGTGCTTTCATTTTCATCTGATTAGTATCTTATTTTTGATTCACAGAGGACATATATCTTCACATTCCTGCTCAGCTCGCGTCTCTTTCTTCACCCATATGAGCTGATGTCCAAAGTGTGCCATTTATGTGTGGACCAGCAGAGACTCAGTGATCCTCAGGCAGACAAGGTACAAACTTGACTCTACACCGATTATCAAGTATCAGGGTGAAACAGTTTGTAATTACATTGTTGTTTTTTCCACTCTTTTGTAGGCTAGAGTCAGGAAAATTGCTCCCAAGATCCTGCAGTTGCTGACTGAGTGGACGGAGACGTTCCCCTATGACTTTAGGGATGAGAGGATGATGAAGAGCCTGAAGGAACTAACACATCGTCTGAGCACTGGAGAGGATGTAAGTCTTCTCTTTCCAAGTATCAGGCGATCGTTTCAGCTGAAACAATGAGCTTTTTATTCTCGAGGAAATGTCAGCTAAAGGCCAACGCCGTTTTAAAGTATTAGTCACCTGAAAGGTGTGAGTGCTTGCGTCAAAGACATTAGTCTTTCTTTATGGCCTTTGTGCCACTATTAGCATAGACCGGGCAAAACATTTTTGCATAAGCCTTAGCATGGTTCTTTAACGTTCAACTAGTTAAGACGTAAAATGTCACACGCTGGGTGAGAAGAGTGTCAACACCTGGGCAGTGGGGGGGTGAAATTTCTTTAGTACTAAATCGCTCTGACAAGAGGGACGAGAAGAAAGCTCTTTTGTTCATCTGCTTTTGTCTTTACTGGTGCTTGTCCACGGGCTGCATTTAAATAGTTCCATTAGCGCTGACTCGGATGCTACCCTGCTTCTGGCTTAGCGTTTTTTCCTCAGAGGGACTTTTTTACCACATTTAGCATTGTTATTTATGCCAAGTTTTTTTTAAACTTCACTGGGGAAAAATCTAAAGCAAAGTATATTTAATTTTTTTACATCAGGTTAACTTCAGCTCTATCATTTTGCTGTCTGTCCGCTGAGCATTTTAAATAAGAGAATATGAATAAAACCGAATGCCTCCATCAAGTTTTGTCTTTAAAAGACCTTTGTGGGCTTTTTTGATCATCCACCGCTGACCAGAAATTCTTGATTTTGTTAGTGTACGGTAAATAAATTATAGATTTTCTGTAGTTAGCACGGGTCATCCCAAGTGGTTGGAGTGCGTTAGTGTAATGACTAAAGAAGAGCAATAGTTAGAATAGACAGTTTAGGATGGAGGATGCCAACGCTTCAGATTCAAACAAATGAGGTTTGACTAACCTGGAAAGACTTTGTAGTAAACACGTGTGGCTATTGACCTGCTTTATCCTGACCCAGGAGATCAATGACCTTCTGCTCTACTGGCTTATGGAGGAGATTTTTACAGCCTACTCATTCTAGTGAAAGGGGTGATAAGCTAATAAGATTGCATGTATGCTCAAAAGGCTACATGCAAAGCTAGAACTGTGTAAGGATCAGTGATAGTGTATTTAATTAAAAATGTACTGCTGTTTTATGAATGCGTTATAAAAATATAATGTGTAGGTTTTATTTTTAGAATTAAAATATTTATATAAATTTGAAAATTTCAGAATGATAAAGTTTTCAAAACAGTCAGGAATGCCCAAACTTTTTCGTATGAAGGAACAAAAACCAAATATCATTAAGAGCCGTATGCCTAAGATAAATATACCAAACTCTTTTGCATTAAAGCTGCCATGGGTAATTTCCTAATTTATTTAATAATATTTACAAAATAAAATAAAAAATTACTTTGCATCATATTAACTATCGCAGTATAACTTTTAATAATAGGTTATTGCAATAAAAACATAATCAAATTTATAACAATTACCCTTTGGCTTGATCTGCTCAACACTCTGCATTGTCCTCTATCCGTCGAGTAACAGTATGTACATTTTAAACTATATTACAGCATTTAAACTGAAACATTTGATTTAATTAATGTAGCTTAACAATATAACAAGCAAATAATAGGTTACATTAAATTTGAAATGACAATCTCTAAACCATCCCCATCATTCTCCCTCCATTCTCAGAAAGAGGGCCAAATCAAAGGTTACCATGGGCCAATTTTGGCCCGCGGGTCCTTGTTTGGGCATCTCTTGCTTAAATTATAAAATGTTATATAATAAATAATGTATAATAAATAAACTTAATTAAAGGACGTTGATGAATGAGTTTAAGTAGTTTCCTGTTGTATTATACTATACTATACTATACTATCAATGTTAAGTTTCTCATTAACATTTTTAACAAAGCAAGGCTCATTCAGATTGTAAAATGCTGTGTTGCTTCCCAAAAAACTTGTTTAATAATAATAATAATTAATATTTTTAAAAAACACATACTTGGCTATGACTAAGTGTTGCTGATGGTAAAAGTGCTCTTTGTGTTTAATCAAAGTATAAGGAGAAATATAATTTTTACACATGATATTTTTAGAGTCATTTTATTTTAGGACTGATTTAATAATAAAGTCTTTTAGATCTTTGCATTTGCTACATATGCGAGACAAATGAAATCAGTGTTTTGAGTTATGGCTGTCTGCTAGATGTGCATCTATGCATGACGAGTGTATCATGAAGAATGCATTCAGTCACAGTCGGAGCATCAATATGTTGTCTGTATTATGCAACTCAGTCGCGGCTTTTTCTGCCATGTGAACGGCATGTACTCGTACGTGAATGATGTTAATGAGAGTGTCTGTAACAGTAGAGCACTGACTGGGGATTCACAGCAGCCAGAGTCGCACAATAGATGTATTTATAGCCAGACATGAGTCCATCTGAGACAAATGTGGTGTATTTTTAAACGTGCTCTCCAGTGTTTGCAGCCCATCATATCAAGACCACTATGGTGTGGTTTCCAGTCAGAACTCTAATGTTTTGACCTCTCCTGGACCTCATCATTCCTTATGAGCATGCCAACAGTTTGCTGACCTGCTGTTTTCAGTCTTTTTACTGGCAGTTGCCTCACAGGGTCCTGAGAATAGATGCCTTAACATCTGTATCCAGACCACAGTTTGTCCTCTGGCTTCTGGTCAGCTTAGATTGTCATGTGGTCTCTGTATAGGAAAGGCAGGGCGCATTTGTACATTTCCAGACACAGGCATTTGGTGCACATTTGGACACCTTTTGCCCAAATTCTGTTTATTGGGAAAGTAATGTAGACCGGCGTTCACTTTTGACCTGGGTGTGGTGTGTCCATGCCCGATTGATCTGTACTCTGAGCTTGTGCCATGCTGGACGGCTGTCCCACACTCGTGCCAGGGATAAAAATGTGTAGGCTGCACAAAAGCAGCTTTCTAATTTTTCCACAACAAGTGACTTGTGTCTGATCTGCTGCTCAAAATGTCAAGCGGTTATCGCCAAGTCCTCCTGCTAAAAATAATCTTTCTCTCCTCTGTGTCAACATATGGTGGACTTTCGTAGAGGGAATTATTAAGATGCTCTGTGATCTTTTAGAGTGCTGCAAGGTCTCGTTTCATTCTGAACACACACACTCTCTTCAAATCGTCAATATTCTTGCATCTACACAATGTGCTGGAGTGCACAAGAACGCAGGCTGTTCCGAGGCAGATGGATTTATGTGCCACTGACCTCCTGCACAACAGATTAATGGGCCACTTTTTATTTTTTATGCGTCAGAAAGGATTACAGAAGGCCGGAAGAAGCGGAAGATGTTTTGAACACCCTGCGTTTAATCAGGAAAATATTTAAACACTAGCTTTTTATCTACATGGTTAAACAGAAAGCTCAAAGGCCTTTTCACACCAGGGACTTTAACAGTATAAATAAATTATCATATATACCAGTGGACAATAATGTTGGTGGTAGAATTTCACTTCATTTGTTGCTTAAAATGCTTGAGCTTTTAAAGCTGGATGAATCCTATTTGGATGATAATAGTTATAGGTATGAAATGCTTGATTAAAAATGTTAATTGTCCAATGTAGTTTCAACAGTAATTTTTCAGTGTGATTTATGGTTATTAGATGTATTGTAAACTTCACGAATCTCACAAAATTAGGTACATTTGATTATAGTTATTGTTATTTACTTTTGTGAATAAAAAGTATAAAAGATATTAGTTGATATAAAAATGTATTTTATATCGATTGACTTGTATATGAATAGAAAAGCATAAACAAACCGGACTATATTAACGCACTGTATATTTATTTGTAAAGCGGTTTACACTTAACCTTAAAATAGTACTTTTCTAAAGTAATCTTAGTTAAAATAATTTTTAGGTTTACTATTATTAAATAACTATTATTATTTAATTTTATGTTTATTAGCACTCAATTGAGTACAATCGTACAATACTTCAAAGTACATTTGAATCTCAGTATGTGACCTTAAGTGACATACAATTTACATACATTATTGTCAGGTGTACTATACATAGTACTCAACTTTTGTTATGAAAAGAAAAAATTGCTTAAAACTAAAGAAAATAATACAAATAAAAATACATCCAGGGTGAGAACGCATAATATAATTCCTTCCAGAATAATCTCAAACGACCACCTCCATTATACACATGGGGATAACACTGGATACAATGTCAATATATAACTAGTTGAGTATCTTCTATTTGTTTATAGCAACAAAATGAGGTATTCTAACTGAAATAAATTGAGCACATTTCCTCCACATTCCCAGGACTATGTCCTTCTTTAATTTAACTACAGAAGTGATTTTTTTTTTTGCCCATTATAGGGAGCTCAATAGTTGCATCTCTCCGATTATTTGAGGTTGATCGCTTTAGAGGTAGCCATTTGCGTTTGATTGCTTTTTGAAACTGGCAGCCACGAGAGCATTAATCAGGGATTCATTTTATGCTGTTACTGTATCTGGATTTAGTTCAATACGTATAATTAGTCAAAGTTATACAAATAACTCAAAAACTCATTTTGAGTAAGACCATTTAAAGCCATTTTTTTAGTTGAGTAAGACAAAATCACATTCTAAGTTTTGAGATCTTGAAGCCCACTGGATATCCAGCAGGATGTAGATTCTTGCCTGGCTGATGTTGAGCAACAGGGCATGACCCGCTGCTGTCCTCTACTTATGCAACAGAAGTCCAGAACTGTGTCAGGCTCTTATTATTAGATAACTCCACTCAAAGCCATCTTGTGTTACGAGGGGAAATGGGAGGCATGCAGGACCCTTGTGAACCGTTGAAGGACATAAATGAAGTACTGCTGTTTTGTTATCCTGCTTTAACTGTTTATGTAATGTACTCTTCGTCTTGGAACGATAGACTCTGTGAGCTAAACCATATCACGGCTGACCAATCAAGAGTAAAGCGCTATTATATGCCTGAAAATCCATTAAATGTTTACAGGGGCAAAACACTCTGTACATTTCCTCAGCTTTCTTATCAGTGTGAGACACATTGTGTTGTCAGTCTTCACATATGAATGATTACCTTGTAATTCTGGTCAATAAAAGCAGGGTTGTAAATCCTGATCTTGTGTGTGTCTTCAGCTGTATCGTAAGGCGGTGCAACAGATGACACAAACGCTGATCCGTAAGCTCACCACACTGAGTCAGTATGAAGAAGCGCTGGCCAAGATCAACTCCTCGGTGACGGACAGACTAACCGTGCTGAAGACCAAACCGCAGTCCATCCAGAGAGACATTCTGACCATCTGCAACGACCCCTTCACCCTGGCACAACAACTCACACACATTGAACTGGTGAGAGGAATTTCCTCAGTTTACACAACCTCACATTCCTCACCTCACCCTGTGCTTGGACTGATTTGTTTACTAAATCAATAATCTAGGGCTATTTTTAGGGTGACCATTTGGGCGAAATGCAAAGGTGACGTTGATCTCATGTTTGTTTTTCAGGAAAGGCTAAGCTACATCGGACCGGAGGAGTTTGTTCAGGCGTTTGTTCAGAAAGACCCTCTTGATAATGACAAGGTAACACTTTCTTCCTGTTTATGGGCAGTTAAAAATACACACGGCACAAATGTTATCTCTTGCACTTACAACAACAAATATCCAAATCAATAGTCGCCATGTTTACGTTAACCCTCGGGTTCAAAGTGGTGTCACCTTTTTCACGGCACATTCCTCTCCTAATCTGTCAGCGTCCAAGTTTCTCTCCTCACGTTCCACACACTGTCCTTTTGTAGCCAAAGCCTAGCAACTGGTTTCTCACAATAACCCGCCAAAAGTTTGCTCAGCCCTGCCTCGTAATGCCCATTGCTGTCTGGCTGCTAGGCAACAGCCTGTGTCGTGGCGGTACTGGTGCGATTTTTCTCTTTTGTTCTGGTCGTCGTCTCTCCAGAGGGTCCCTGTGCACGGCCGTGGCTCTCTGATGTTGTCCGTCAAAGGTGGTGTAGGGTGGATCGTGTATTGTGTGACGGACCGCACAGTCAGAGTGTAGGAATGCGAGGAATGAAGGGTTAGAGTGACCTAAGCTTTCAGACTGAGTGTCTGTGCACATTCCCTAAACAGATAATAGCACTGGGCCCAGTGAGTGTGGAGGGTCTCCAGGGCAATCGAGCTCTCTGATTGAATGAGCATTGTTGCACATCATCAGTCATTGCGGAGACCTTTGTTCTTGGTTCTAAATGTGAAAATGAGAGATCCTAGCAGGCGATCACTCTGTGAGATCACTCCACAGACAACAAGCTCATTAGATTCACTTCATGCCACACAGGATGAAAATAGATATTGACATACAGACTGTTTATATGAGATCCAACTTGTTGCTTACTTGAATATCATAATCTGTTCTACTTTATTTAAATAATAATACTGAAACGGTTGATACTAAAAAGAGCAGTATGTCCCAGCTAAAATGTCCATTCCAAATGAAATTAAGTTTAAATGTTTTTGACTAAACTCATGTCTCTGTGTGGTTGTAATTCTGAAACTGATCTTTGAATCTTGCAGAATTGCTTCAGTGATCACAAGAAGGCAAGTAACCTGGAGGCTTACGTAGAGTGGTTCAACAGGCTCAGCTACCTGGTGGCGACGGAGATCTGCATGGTAATCATCTGCTTTAATTGCTGTGACTCTTCCAGCAACTTTACTTGCTGCAAATTACAAGCTGGGTTGCGCAATTAGTCATTTTAATTACAGGTCTAGAAAATATATGTGACCTTTCAGAGGTTTGCGCTCAGGAAATTTATAGGTACATGTTCTTTCTATTCATTAAAAAAACCTGGAAAAATATTTAAGAAATATAAATCAGAACAACTGTAAATAGCTCAATTCCACTCTAAAGACTTGAACAATGGCTTGAAAATTAGCCTTCGCCATAACAGCAATGCATTAAATCTGAAGTGTTAAATATTCTAAAACTGAAAATGACTTTTTAAATATAATATTTTATTGTGTTTTTGGTCAAATATCAGTCCAACATATACTTTATTTACCTTGTTTGGCAGTAGTAGGCGCTAATAGCTTAACTACATTTCTTAGTAGCGTAGCGGTAGCGTTATTACTTTCTAAATCAAATAGCTTTCACTAGTGAAGCTTTATGTTTTAGTCAAGTAGCTAAGTAGCGTCCACACAAGCTACATTTACCGTTTGCGGATTATTAAGTGATGGCACTGAAATTCACGGAGCTGTGAGACCAGTGTCTAGCTGATAAAAGTAAATTCAGATGATGGCGAGAATGAAGACTTCCTGTTTTATGGTGGTCAACAACAAACTTTTTGATGCTTTACTGCCACCTCTCACAATGGTTTTGATGTCGCCAACCAATTATACTAACTTTTTTTGTTTTTGCGGTTATATACTGTAATTAAGTGTAGTTTGGTACAGCATATTATTTGCAGTACATAATGGAACTGAACAATTTTGCCTCATATTATTCATTGACAGTTTTATTGATCACTAAGATATGATTGAGTTGGATTGAAGTCGCTTCCATTTAAAAATTAAAATTGCAAAAATAGCTTTGATGTAGCTAAGAAACTTTTGCCAAGTAGCTTTTAGCTTAGCTTGCTACTTTTCCAGGAGGGTAGCTTTAGGCGTAGTTAAGCTACATTTTAAGTAGAGTAGCTAATAGCTTAGCTCACTACATTTTTAAGTAGCTTGCCCAACATTGTTTATTCATAAAACATCCTTCCTTTTCATAGCAAGCTTAAACACATTTCCATAATCTGCACTTTTGTAAGACAAAAAGTGTACATTACAAATGATTATATATCACAAAAGTAGTTGGTATTCAATAAACATTAAAATGTGGAGTCATAAAGTCCACTCTATGGTGTACCTAAACATCGCTTTGTTTTCTTGTACAGCCTGTCAAGAAGAAACATCGGGCTCGAGTCATCGAATTCTTTATCGACGTGGCACGAGAATGCTTCAACATTGGCAACTTCAACTCGCTCATGGCCATCATTAGTGAGTGTTTTTGTGTCCCTCACAACACTTTACTCCAGCTCTTACAGCTACAGAAAGCTCTTTTGTTTCCCACAAATCTGTTTGGATAATACGGTTTGCTGTTTTGGCAGGATTTGGTTTGCTTTTCTAATCCTTGCTCTCGTGCGCTTAACACACACAACAGTGTCAAATCTTTTACAGGCTCTGCAAGCAAACTCTCGGTTTATTTGTTTGTCAAATCCTGCTGAGTCGTCTTTCGCTGTTCAGAAAATGAATTTCCAACTTTAGTTTTCAATAAACTGTATTTGTTTATTGATTATCTTCAGATTACAATATATATTCCTCGCTCTCTATGTTTAATAGACTTTATCATCAGTAATAATCTGCTGCATTAATCATTCACTTAGCTCTTTGAGCACAAACACACGCCGCTGCCTAAGGCATTATGGGTAGAGGAGCAGGACTGGAGGCAGCTGTTCAGCCTGTGTGACGACAGAGAGATAGACGTCCCAAAGGCAGATGGTCAGCGTTGACCAATCCAATAGGCTGAGACTCATTGAGAGGGGGATTGTCGGAGGGAGGGAGTGTAAGCAGCTGTCCTTTCCCTGGTCAGTCCCTGGAGACGAGCCCGCGGGCCTGGACTCTTACACAAGCCACTCTCCCTGGAGATCAAGGCCCGATATTAGTGTCACTGGAAGAGAACAAACAAGTCATGGGAAAGGGTGATCGCCCCTGTTTGTGTTTTTGTACATTGTGTGACGTGAATGTGGCGTCAGTGCGTGGCTAAATCATTGCGCCAGTATCATGTTTGTGTGCTGGTGGAGCTCTGGGCTTCACACCTGTTAATACAGACAGATTGTTAATGCTACTGAAGCCTCAGCTGGCGCTTTTGTAGATGGATGGATAGTGTTGCTGCTTTTGTGCTTGGTTGAAACCGTTGGGTTTTTTGGAAGATAGAAGATACCTGAAATGATGGAGTAGTAGTGAAGTAGTGAACAACATAATGGGTTTTAATGTTGCAGTTTGTTATATAGAACAAAAGATTTGGTAGTGCTTGTGTGTCTATGTAGATCAAAATTTTCCTTTCTATGGCTATAAATTGCCATATGTTCCTGGACTCATTGTAAAAGGATTTTTTTTACGTCTGTATTTTAACGTACTACAGTTCCAAAGTTTTGGATTAATATTTTTAAGAAGGAAATTAGTGTTTATGCAGCAAAAATGCCATAAATTCATCAGATTATTTTAACCTTACAAGAGCTTTTTACTTAACAATATATATATATAAATTATTTCTGATTGATCGAACAATTTGTTCATCAACAGATCCCAAGAACAAGGGGAATATATATAAATACAATGTGTCCGTGGGGTCTTAAAGTATTAAACATTGATAAATCAATAATGAGAAATTAAAGCCCTTAAAAAGGTATAAAAAAGTCTTAATCACGTTTTTACAAAGTCGTCAATTTTGTTCAAGCATTGTCCAAAGTGTTTGACTCCAAAAAGCATAAATTTATTTTCCTCCTAATATTAACAACGCGTGCTCGATTCACACGATTGCTTCAGGCCGGGGTGTGTCATGCCAATCTCCTCCGTCTGGGTGATGTGGAAGGTGATGTGACACTTTCCACATGTAGTGAAACCATAGAGCGAAACAGACGGCAAAATGGGAAAATGTAAGTTTGGGTACTCCTAGTTGGCGAAAGATGAGTTTAAACAGGGACTGAAGCCTGTGGCTGAAAACAACCACATAATTTATTCTTTCAAGCTTTGTTTCTTCCGAGCTTATCCGAGTTCTGTTGCATGGTTGTACTCCATTGATTTATTTAACTACTAACTGTTTATTAACAATCGTTTATTAGGTTAAAGGTTTGGAACTGATTAGAACTTGAAATAGCGATGAGGTCTTAAAATAATTTCTTTAAAAAGGCTTAAAATGGTATTAAGATTATCTTTAGGATTCCTTCATATACCCTCTAAATATAATAATTGTTTTTGTCAGAACAAGATTCATAAATAAAAAAATATATATTTTATTCTTTATATTAATGTATATATTATATTACATGTGGTAAGTAATGTTATTTCAGTTAGTAACGTTATTTCCCAATATAAATGGATTTTTTACCAAATAAATACATAATAATACAGAAACTTTTGAAAATATAAAAGAAATTGTCTCACTCCAGATTTTTCTAAAAACCTTTCAAATTGGTTCGGTTATAAATATTATTTTAGTCATTGCTGAGTAGTAAATTAGACCCACAATAAATGATAAACATTCATTCATCCATTTTCATTGGGCTTTGTCCCTTTATTTATCAGGGGTTGCTACAGCGGAATGAACCGCCAACTTATCCTGCATATGTTTTACACAGCAGGTGCCCTTCCAGCTGCAACCCAGTAATGGGAAACATCCATGCTTTCTCACATTCACACTCATACACTGCATCGCAAAATATTTGCGACACATTTTTATGTCACACTGATTAACATTTAAGCGAGACATAGTAAGAAACGATTGTATCATCAGTACAGAAGCATCTGATTGGCTGACCCACCTCAAGAGATTTCCAGTCAACACTCTGACCTCATCTGGTCATTAGTGCTGACTGCACAAGCCCACCGCCCTGACCCCCAGCACTATAAGCTGACCTCATTGTCAAAGGGAAATGATGCTCCTGCTAATGCCATTGTTCATGTGAGCTCATTGAAGCTCTGACAGGAAGTGAAACATTGCGCTGTGCTGACCTGTGTCTGTTTCTCTGTCTTTCAGCCGGGATGAACATGAGTCCTGTGTCGCGACTCAAGAAGACCTGGGCCAAAGTTAAAACCGCCAAATTTGATATACTGGAGGTATGTATCTGGTCATAGTTTGCTCTGTTGACAGCAGTGGGGTGGTGTGACTCATGGGATAGAGGGGGGGAATTTAGATATATATAGGGGATAGAGTGAATACGTATCGATTCTGATATCTGTTTCAATTTGCTTCTAATTAACAAGCTCTCGATTAGATTCTTGATTGATTTGATTCAGGCAATATGTATTTTATGGATAATATCTTAGACTTGACTCTTTACATAAATCTTCTGCAAGATGTGCATGTCAAAACATAATCATTTATTTGACCTAATAAGCCACAAAACTGAAGTGAATATTAAAGAAAAATGATGACTTGAGAATTGATTGTGAATTGCACACTGTTTAAAAAACAATTAGTTATTTGTTTGTTTTTTGGCCAACTCTAGTGAGTGGGAATTAATCATGGTGAACGCTTTGCTGATATGGCACTAATCATATTAAGAGTTGGACCCTGGCTCTAGTCCCTGTGACTCATGCATGCATGAAGCTCAAACCACTGACAATATGGATGCCACCTGATGCCAATTTTAGTCTCTAGTGGGCGAGAAATGTTGTGTATTTGTGCATCATCGTTTTTCTGAAGCCCAGCAATTCTCCCTTTGAGTGGGTGTGCACATGTTTACAAAGGTTCTTTTAGGCCATATTTGAGAGGGGTTGAGACCTTCAAGGCTTTAATTTTGAATCTGCACTCTGTTGTTTACTTTTTAAAAGAGGGTTTGTTTAGGCCTCGCTTTATCTTTGGACAGGCAAAGGCCTTGAACTTGGAATATGACTTAAGTACGTGACACAAACACGCACACCAACACATGGTTCAGTTTTGCCTTTGGCTGTAAATAAGGACTGTGCGTGTTGTCATCAGGGGGGTTTAGCTACTGTACTGTCTCAATAAATTGCCTATTTCCTATTGTTTTACTTTTTAAACAATGAAAGCTTAGTGGGTTATTTGTCTTCTATATAGAATTGGTATCATAAATAAAAGATTTTACAGAGCATTGTGGTGAAGTTAATAAAGCAAAAATGGACCCTCAGTTTTTACTAATTGTGTTTTTGATGTCTATATGACCCCAATAATCCACAATAAAAACTTCTGCAATGATATTTAGCAATTGATCTGACTATACCCCAAACGTTTGAACGGTGTACTTACTAAAACCCGCTCCTGTAAAATTGGTTTAAGATGACTAAACCTTTGTAGATGTTTCACCTTCAGGCGGAAGGTTCAATGAAGTTTGAAAGTACATGAAATGGATCATCTTACTTGATTCTCATGAAAGAATGCCTTATGCTGAAAAGTAACTCGAGTGACTCATGATGCCTTTAGTTAAATCAGTAGTACTAACTGAGACATAACCATGTCTAATGGATTTAGGGCTTATTAGAAACTTCAATTTGTCGAAACTGCATCTACATGTTTCAAGTCCTGAGGTCGGGGAATAAACCACTTTTGTTTCTCTTCTCAGCACCAGATGGATCCCTCCAGCAATTTCTACAACTACAGGACGGCACTGCGCGGAGCCACTCAGAGATCCATCACTGCTCACAGCAGCAGAGAGAAGGTAATCCACTTCTCAAGTTTCCTCACAGAAGTGACTGGAACATTAGTTTCATAACGCTGTTTGGGTTTGGGGTGTGCTTACATAAAAAAAGTGTTTGAAGTATGCGATATGGTGTATTGATTTAGCAACAAACGTAATGTGGACAGTGATAAAATCTTATTTATTACGTAAAAGATTGCAGTGATTGGCTCTTTTAAAGCCGCTTGAAGCGTAGACTCTAATCCAGATTGTTGTATTTACTGTAAATTGAGGTTGGGACCAGGCTCTTTGGTCGTTATGTAATATCAAGCGTAGAGGATGGTGGGACTGTTTGTGGACCATTTACTAAGGGCAAGATGTCAAATAGGACGTTCTGTTTCCTCTGCAAAATATGCTCTATTCTTGTTAGGAAAACATGGCAGTTGGCCAGTTAACAAAATGTTCTGATGCTCTTCAGTGTTTGTGAACTCGCCCAATAAAATGTGACTCTGCCAAGAGGAAGCTCAATGGTAATGTCTTAGTTAAACTGTTTTCAGTTTTGCTTGTTTTTCTTCTTCACTTTTTGGATGTTCTCAGTTTTGTTGTTTTTTTAATAGGCTTCGATAAGCCTTGTTGTGCATTTTTGACTGGTTAGGGTGGAGATGCTTGCTGTGTGGGTTTGACAGAATGTTCCAGAACAGCACTGGAATGCTCAGCGTTCTGTAAGGGGATGTTTTTTTTTTTTTTTTATATATTTTTTTTGCATCACTGTGACCCAGCGCCAATTGTTTTTTCGTAAGTGTTGGATGTGTTTAGGCTTTGGCTTGTGGTCTTCCTTTAGAGTTTCAAGGGACATATAAGTGTGTTCTCAGGCAGGAATTTCCACAGTAAACAAATTCAATCAGGAATGCATTACCGCTCGCGTAATATCTTTAACTCATCAACTTGTTTGACTACTTGTATTTTTGACCCCATGTTTTTCCCCTAGTGCTTGTTGCGCTGATTTTGAGCTTCATTTAAAGTTGAGGTTGACTGATCAATTTCTTAGTTTTGGTTTGATTTTCAGGCTTTTTATGACTAAATGCACAAAGAAAAAAACATAGGATGAGAGTTCTGCTATCCTGCCGAATGCATGCATGCAGTTAAGATTATGAATTGATCTTACATGACTCGCTCATTCTTATTTATAGGGATGCATCAATATGGATTCTTTGGTCAATATTGATAACCGATAAATCTTAAGATCTAGAGGCCTGTAACTAATATATTATAGCCAATAAATATAAATATTTTTAAATGTTATATTTTTATACAGTAAACAACTGATTTTATTTAAAAAACTTTATAAAAGTTTGAACTGATCTTATGAACTGAATAGCCTACTCAAAGCAAAACATAAATCAGCATGCCAAATATAAATTAATTTTCATTTTCTTTGCATAGCAAGTTATTATGCAACTTGACTGTTGCCTAAAAATAATAGGTTAAAAACTGAATACAATCTTACATCAACAATACATGGCAAGCAACCCGCTGAAAATAACATATAACATATAATCATATTACATTACAAACAACCCAATAAGTTTTTTAGCACATGTGCATCGCTGCTATTATGTTTACACATGTGCTATTTTTCCTGAGGCGATTTAAACCAAAATACACAATGACACCCTATCTAACATATCTACAATGATAAGGAATATGGCTACTTACTGAGATATTAACACACAGCAATACCACATAAAGAAAGGATGGCCTTTGAATGAATAAACAATGCGAGGAAAACTCTGTTATAGTGCACTGAACAAGTTCGACCCATGCATGCACGGTTCGGTACAATTACCTACTCTATTGGCTTAAAGATATCAACCTATTTTTGATATCGGACCAATAACGATAACATTAAAAATAGCATTTATCGGCCAATAACAATATGGCGGCTGATATATATTGTGCATCTCTACCTATTTATTAAAAGGGGAAGAGAAATAAAAAAAAATAAAAAATTAAATGCAAGAGTCTCTTGAGTGTAAAACATTTTAATTCAATGTCAATTATTAAATTATACCAGACGATATTTTTATTAAAATAATTTTTTTATAGACGTTAAAAAGGTTGCTTCTGGAATAATACTACAGTTATTGTCATTCATCATGTTGACATATTTTATGTGAAACATATTGCTATCATTTTAGATTTTTTTTAATGCATGTTTTTATGCTGCCTATTTTGAGATCATACTTTTTTTTGTTTTTAAAGCACTGAATTGAAATCATAATGTGATGAATAACTATTTAAAGTAAATTATTCAGTTCTATTGTTTTACTTTTCAAAAAGATGTTAACATTTAGGAAATTTTTATAATTTTAAAAAAATCATAATTTCCTTGGTTATTATTTTTACTTGGTCTGTCCTGATGTTTAATATAGTGCTGCATCGCTTGCATGCAAGGTGGATTTTGTTTTTTGCTTTGCTTTAGATCCAGTGATGCATCTAAATTTAGCAACACCACCTTTGTTTATCATGTTGTTATTGAATCTGCTACTACAGAGTTTGGATTTCAGCCTTGCGTACACCGCACTGCTTCCATGCGTCATGAATCATTGTTATTGCTCTCCAGAGCTGTAGATCCAGTTGTGCTGGGCCCTGTAGGCTTGTAGAGGCTGCTGTAAAACACTATTGCCTAACGCAGTCACACTGTGACCATAACACTTGCATATCTTCCAATAAGACTGCTTCATTTTACTTGCATATGTTTTTAGTAGCTGTTTGGTAATGTTAAGTTCATTTTTTGTCTTGCAGATTGTTATCCCTTTCTTCAGCCTCCTAATTAAAGACATTTACTTCCTCAACGAAGGATGTGCCAACAGGCTCCCGAACGGACATGTGAATTTTGAGGTAATTCCTTCTGTTTGGCTTGGCAAAACAAGCCAGCAAACGTTATGCATGGAAACGACTTCTCTCCCAGCTAGAGAATAACAATGAATGGCTCAGAAAACATCGTCACATAGCAACAGAAGTATCCCGTTTTAGTTCATTGACGTTGGCATCTGTTGAAATGAAGTTTCAAGGGCATCAGTTCTGTAAGACAGACAGAAGGTAGGCAATGCTTTCTAACAGAATGAATCTTGGTTTTGCTGCAGAAATTCTGGGAACTAGCCAAACAGGTGACAGAGTTCATGACTTGGAAGAAGGTGGAGTGTCCTTTCGACAGAGACCGCAAGATTCTGCAGTACCTCCTGACCGCTCCAGTCTTCAGTGAAGATGGTATGTGTGGTTTTGTGATGGCTAGTATGGTTTGGAGTTTCAGTTCCTTGTCACAGACACCTTCATCTCATCTAGGGCTAGGCGATTTGACTGAAAAATGTCCAAAATTCAATATTAACTGTTTTGTTTCTAATGATGAGCAAGCCGGTTGAAAATAAATGTAAATATTTGATGCAGATTAGTTGAGATGCCTCAATTTCTCATGGAAAAAGCACATCAAAGTCTTTAATTAGTTTTTTGTGAAAAGATTTCTTCTATTGACGTCAATTCTTTCATGTTTGACTTCGTTTTGTTATTTCATTTCACAAAAGAAATTGCAGCAATATCTTAAAAAATAACATCTTTTTATTTAAGTTTACTGTAATGTCTTCATTCTCGTTTTGTTCATAAATGGTGAGAAAATTTAATCTTGAAAACATTATGGGCTCTATGCACAGCTAGACTTTCAAAGCCAATGATAAACTTCCGGTGAAACTTATTGTGACTATTTTCAATTTCACAAGGTTGTTTTTACAGTATCGATGTTGTAATGTAATTACAATACATTCAGTTAAATAGACTTATGTATTCGTTTAGTTGCTCAAGCGTAAAACAAGATGAAAGACCGTTGTAACCATCTGTGGCAACAGGCTAGCACAGAAATCCCATTGAAAATGCTGAGGTAATATGCTGAGGTCATGTTTTAAAGACATGGCGGGGGGTAAATAGAATTTAATACATTGCTTCTTGTCCGATCTGAGACCCTTCTTCATCGTTTATCTATCAGGCAGTAAAGATCACTGATTATTAAAGAAATAATATTTTAAATGTGACAATTTTGTATTGGAAAGAGTTCACTGGTAGTTCTTGGGCAGTCTGGCTGAAAATTAAAAGTCTGTGTGCATATAGTGCCATTGTAAAGCTAACTGTGAGGTTGAAAGAATAGTTACATTGATATTGACTGTTATCACCATAAATGTAAGTTTTTAACTTCAAATTTAAAGGCAGATTTTTTTTTTTTATCCTGAGTGAATTTAAACTACTTGCATATTGACCAGATATAAAAATGAACTAATTTGATGTACCATATTTACTTATTTATTTGTAATTTTTATTATTATTAACAAAGCAAGCAGGCTGATTTAATTACATTATATGTGTCTCTTTAAACTAGGATATCCAATAAATAAAAGTTAACAAAAAACAAAAACTAAGTTCAGCATCAAGAATGGGATCAATAGATGAATACAATTATACACAGTAAGGCAAGGGGTGCAAGATTTAATATGCTAAATATTTTTTAAAATATTTACTCTATACAAGTACATAGAGTAAACTTACTTATATTAATACATGTTAGAACAGGTTATATGAAATTATGTAGCAAATTTGTATTCCACAATGTTGTGACATCAATGCAGTAAATGTCTGTTAAGTAAAACAATTATTAAGAGTTATAGTTAAAGTTTGTCAAACATTGTCATTCATGATATCATTCACTTGAATCCTCTCATGCATAGGTAAAACAAATAAAAACATTTAAATATTTATTTCACATTATACAGTTGAAGTCAAAATTTTTATCCCTCCTTATTTATTAAATCCATCCCATCTGCTCTTTGACGGAGAGAGGATTTAAAAAAGTTTTAATAACATTTTTAGTAGCTAGTTAGTTTTTGCCATGATGACAGTACATACAATTTTTCTACTTATTTTGCAAGAAGTATTTGGATTTTGTATACATTTCAGTGCTTTCAGTTTAAGCACATAATTAAAAACTATTTATTCTTATTAATAATAATAATAATTGTTATTATTATTACCTCTTTAATGTCATAATTTCATCAACATTATCATTTTATTGCCCAGCCCTATTTCCACCCCAAGAAATTCAGACCTATTATAATACTAAAGGCTTGTACCATTACTTTGATTCAAAATATTTTTTACATTACTGGTTTACAATCAACCTAGACATCCTGTGTGAGCTCAGTCTCTTCTGTTCACTTATTTTCTCGCCACTCGCATCATAAACCTGTTTAAATGATGTTTGCGCAATACGCACACAAAGAAACCAGACACTAAGAGAGCGGCGCTTGTCATTGTTGCCTCGGGTGTAAAATGCTGTCATGCTAAATAACCTAGAAACACAAGTTCAAGAGCATTCCTGGAGATTGAGAACAGGTGGCTTTGTTTTTGTGATTCTGACGCTGATCTTGCTGATCTCTCAACAGCTTTGTATCTGGCGTCATACGAGAGCGAAGGGCCCGAAAACAACATGGAGAAAGACCGATGGAAATCTCTCAGGTGTGTATGACGTGATTCATCAGCTGACTGACAGATAGACAGTTTCTATCAGCAGAAGTCATTTGCTGTTTGTTGCGAAAGAAAGCACTAACACTGCTCACACTGTCAAGTTAGTGTTGTCTAGACCTTAAAGAGTCACAATAAAACAGTTTAGTAATAAAATTGTATCAAAACTGGATATTTCTGTTAGAAATTTACTTTTGAGTTCAATTTATTTACTTCAGTTTGTCTCTTCTAATCATAGTAATACTGAAAGTTTATTTCTAGACTAGGGATGCCCAAACCTTTTTGCTTATGAAGGGCCAAAATCCAAGCTTGATTGAGAGCTGTGGGTCAAAAGTAAGCATCGCAAACTGTATTACATTAAGGTTGCCATGGGTAATTTATTTCATAATATTTAAAAATAAATAGAAATAATTACTTCAACTGTAGTTAATTCACTTTTTTGAAAATGTATATTATTTTAATGAACTATTACAGTAAAACTATAAAAAAATCTATTTATTAAACAATAAAGATCAATGCCAAATACACTAGTCATGCTGAACTTGCCTTTGCCTTGATTTGCACGCCGTCTTCTGCTTTGTCCCCTATATGTGCTGGTATATACATTTTTAAAAAAAAATTTAATCATTTACAATATTTAATTAAAACATTAAAAAATATTTTTTGTAGCTCAACAAAAAAACAAACAAACAAAAGGTTGCATTAAAATTAGAAATGAGAATGATTTTAGGGAATGCCTTTAAAGAAGATAAAAGGCAATCCAACTCTTCCCAATCATTTTCTCTCTGGTGTGCCAAATCAGAGGATACAAAGGGCCAAGTTTGGGCATCTCTGTTCTAGAAAAAAAATTTTAGTTTATTTATTTTATTTTTGTTTTTTGTTTTTCTAGAGAAACTTTACTAATAAATTGGAATGGTCCAATGTTAAGTCGACTAAAAATTTTATAAAAATAGTAACATGACTAAATAATAATTGATCATGAAAACTGCATGAACATTAAATTAAAACTATTATAATATTTACTTTACACTATACGGTTAAAATCAAAATTATTGTCTCTCATTATTTCCTAAATATTTTGAAAGTGCTGTTTAACGGAGGATTTAAAAATAATTAATAATAATTTCTTGCAAGATAATAGTATTCATATTTTGTTTGTATACATTGTAGCGTTTTGAGATTAAGCAAATTATAAATAAAATTGTTATTATAACTATTATTGTCATTATTATTATTATTACTGAAATCTTGATTAGGTTAACTAAGCAAATTACGCTAATTAGGCAAGTTACTTTACTACAGAGGTTTATTCTGTAATCAATCAAAAATATATAAATTCTAGAACGATATATATTTTATTTTTATTATGTTTTTTTTTCCTCTCCTTTCAATGCCGTGGTTGTGGTAGGGTAGGGGTAATATACTGCTTTAGATTGTAAATGCAAAACTCAATAAATAAATATAAATAAATATATATATATATATATATATATATATATATATATATATATATATATATATATATATATATTAGTCACAGTTTGTCTTTGCTTTATTGCATACAGACTACAAGACTTCCATGTATCCCTTTTTCAAAGAATATTCATTATTATTTTTGGATCTACATTGATTTGAATCAGGTACTTCCAATATACAAACAAGCAAACTGACACAAACATCATCCATTATTGCTCTCCTGAGATCATGCAGTGAGAGATACACACACAAATGTGCTTGGCAAGGGTGAGGGCGTCTGGCTCATGCTTAGTCACGTTTCCTCACAGTTTTACAGCACAGGAGAGAGAGGTTGCGCAGGCTTTTGGTGGGCTGGGTGTTTTTTTCTTTCCACTGCGACAGGATCTGTCACCGCAGCAGATTTAGTCTGTATCAGCAGTTCATGCTCTCAGTGTCTCAGTGTGAGTTCAGTAGTCCTGCAGGAAAAAGAGCAGAGCTACCAGGAAAAGACAATCCAGCTGATGCAGGGATGAAGAATAATGTCCATAGGGCAGAGTTGCCTTTTATTGCTCATCTGAAAGCAGTTTATGCTTGATTTATCACGTGTAGGGCGCTGGACTTGGATCAGCACACAGCATATTGTGTACAGAGCGTCTATCCTCATCCACCCTTGCCTGTGTGAGGGCTTTGGAATATAAGCTCTTGTTTTTTTTTAATTTACTATTATTATTATCATTACTTCTATTTTAGAATAATTTGGAATATTCTCAACAGTTTCCTCATGATGACTACAATAATTAACAAAATAAGCAATGCACTGTTGCCTAATGGTTATTCAGAATGTCATAACTACATTAGGCAAAATGTTAAGTTAAAGAGCAATTCTTTATTATGATCAGACCTCTTAATAATATGACACTTAATCTGTGCCATGAATGAATATGCTCAATATCACTTGACAGGAGAACCATAAAGGCAAAGCGCTGTACATAAATAGAGAAAGGTGAAACTGTATAAATAAAAAGTATGTCTTATTATGTAGCAGCAGAATGTGTTTAAAGACTAACTGGGTTGCATAAATTGCATCTTATTTAGCATTTAAAGTGTACTTTTGAGGAAACATTTAAAATAAAGTATTGTTTGTCGACACAAACCGTGTTGCTAACAGTGTTATTATCCACCAGCAGCTGTAATAAACACAGCTCTGGCTCCCTCTCCTGACAAGACTCTTGAAAAACACAGTGGTTCTCAATCAGGGGGCAGGCCAGTAGCCAGGGCTGAGAATAGATGAGCTCATTTTGTACATGAGTCCTATTTTGACTGTTATGCCATCATTAATTGTGAAAATAACCCATCAAAGGCTTCAAGACCAAGCAGAATCTGACATAAATGAAGTCATCTTTCTTTATTGATCTACTGTATTGTGGTTAAATAAGAAAACATTTTACAAGTAACTTTTATTCTAAATCTTTATAAAGACTTTATTCTGGCCCATATTAAAGTTAATTTCAATACTGATTAGGCTTTTTTGTTATCCATGAATTTTCAAATGGACTTTTTTTTTTTTTTTAAAAGAGAGGCTAGAAAAAAAATGATGGAGCTCTACATTATTAATATGTTTTTTAAAAAAATATTTTTTGTTTTTTTTAATCCACATGGCCAAATTCTGACTGACGAAAGCTGAATGTGCTGGCCAGTTTGTTATTCGGCTAATAAATGACAATAGGCTACATTTGTTTTTCTGAATGATATATGATGTAATAAGTTTGTAGGTTTTTTTTTTTTTTAATGTTTCTTGGTTCTAAATCTTTAGAAACTATTTTTAGGTTTGTGGTTTTGATGACCATCCAACAAGCTAATCCAGTCTAAAATAGTGCTTAAAAGTTACTAATGGTAACTTTTTAATATTTTAATGTTTTTTTAATGGTTAACTACCTCATAATTACATACAAAATGAGGCTTATAACTGCAAAAAAGTTAACTTTTTGAGAAATAAATGAACCACCCCTTTAACTACGCTGGCTAGTGGCTTGGGCGGCCTCCACAAATTTCTAATATTCCTTACAATACTCTGTTAAAACATATTAAAATGAAGTAAATCTCCTGAAAAAATGTTGAACACTGGCAATTGTTTTTCTTGATACAATTACAGTCTATTTACATTTACTTATTGACTTTTTGGTTTCATTAGTATTACACAAATGTTACAAATTAATATGGAAGAAATGCTTTTTTTTCTTACCTGCATTTTATTGTGGCTAAGTACATGTTATTTTTATTTTGAACGGAAATTTAATTATTTTACTAAATGACGGTTATGCTTGATTTCTGCAGGTCATCTTTGCTGAACAGGACATAATCCTTTGAGGAGCTCCAAATCAAGTGATCCTTCTAACAAGCAAATTGTGTCCCCCTTTTGCCCCTTTCCAAAAGTGAGAAGTATCCCTGTTTTTCAAGGGAGATGACAATCCTTATTTTGCTGAACGGAGCATTTTTGTGTTGGAAAGAAGATCTTTTTGAGAGTCTTTCATACTGGATATTTCAGGCTTTTTCATCTCTTTGTGCAAACTTTTGTACTCCTTGCCCTCACCTCTCTGTCTCTAAAACAGTTTGAGCAGAAAGAACAAGTTGTTGAAAACGTCTCTACTAGACAAACCAATTCCAAACTATCCTGTCATTCTTCTGTATTGAGGAAGCCGCTGGTTGGCAAACTCAATTGGAGAAACTAAAAAAAAAAAAAGAAGGAAAAAAAAGTAAGCCAGCATTGTGTACTGGGTTCCAGTACTTGTATATTTTTATTGTACCTGAAGCATTAATTTAACTATAGATTTACGTTGTCACTATTTTTTGATATTGTGTTTGTCTGTTTTTTATGCATATGAGATGTGAGTAATGCATTGCTTTAACCTCTGTGAGTGACCATTGACTTACGTGTGCTTGATTAAACCCAATGAGGGTCGCCGAATGCACTGGATGCTTCTGTGAATAAAGATGTCAATTCTTTTCCTGTGGAATAATTTATTTGTGATAATTCTGCAGTTTAAAGCTTCATCCCTCGTCCCACTTTTTGTCGTCATGACTTTACTGTAGACGTTTGTCGGCCTTTGAAGGAAAGACGGTGTTTGTTTGTCAGTGTTACCGTTGTAATGCTGTTTTTACGCGATGAAGGTGATATTTGTAGGACTGTTGTCGACGCTCTTGTTTGGTGAGTGGTGTTGTGTCGCCCTCTGGTGGTCAAAAGGAAAATGACACTTCAGAGTGTCTCAAGGAAGAGTTGAAGGTTTATCGCACCCATATTAGCTTGGATTCGAGTCCATATGTAGAATGTGCTAGTTTTCATTACTGTTATTCTATTAATATTTCACATATTCCTTTGTGTTTATTTATTGGCCTCATGGATATCTTTAGCTCTTGTTTTCAAATAAGCTTTATTAAATGTTATTTTGTACTAGGTACATGTTTTTTATAATATTCAGATATTCCCTGTCTAAATATTTTATAATGTTTATAAAAGTTTGTATGAGGAAAAACTAATATTTGAAGGTACTAGCACACAGTATGAAGCTAATGTATGTCGGATAATGTCAGCTCTACACTTTTTTTGATCTCCTACAGTATGTAAATATTGTCATTTCTCCATTCTGTATATTGATATGTATTTTGATTGTTTGGGCAGATTACAGAACCTCAAAAGTGATATGGAGTGAATGAAAAAAAATAAAAGGAATTAAAGAATGCCTATGAAGTTCATCTGAGTCTCTTGTTTTTGTGTCATAATTGTGTTAGGATAAATTAAGTCTTCTCATTGGAATCAATGCTTCCATGAAGGCTTTTCACACGTAAAAATAATCAAGGTTAGTATTGTTAGCCCCATTAAGTATTATGTATAATTTCTGACTGGCTGCAGACTTATAAACCTAAACCTTTAAATTGCACTTTAAGCTGAACACTAGTATTTTGCAAAATAACAAGTGATTTATGATCTGTCATTACAAAGACAATGGAAATTATTTATTAGAATTTTGTTTTTAAACTTGAAAAAAATGTTGGAATTTGGGAAACTTGGCAAATATTTTTTAAAGAAATAAAACTTCACCTGAAATACAACTTTTCAATTGTATATATTTAATGATTTTTTATTAATGGTTCCACAAACAACCTTTAACATGTAGAATATTTCCATTCCACAAGAGGTACTTCAATTTATTAATGCACTTAACATGATTTCTTTTCAAGTTTTTCTCACAAAGGTTATTCTTTAAAGGTTTCTTTGGCTAACTGAAAATATTTTTGTCATTACTGCAAACAAACATACATCTAGAATGTTTACATTAAAGAGAGTATTATGAAATATTACACTTTAAAAAAAAAAAAGAAATGAGTCCAAAACTCTTAAATTCGCAAGCAAAGATTCTAGATGTGCAATAAATGACAGCAGAACAGAGCAACAGTATCTGGATGCAGCCTTTATGATGCAAGCTGAGACTGCATCACTCAGCGATGCAATGTCAGACACAATGCACTCAAATGGAGCTAGTGACGTCACTGTGACGGGTGGGGTTAGGTGAGCCCATTAAAAAGCATTAGATGCAGCCCAGATTGCACTGCACCAGGTCTGCAGCCAGACCCATCTTCAACAGAGAGCAAAATGAATGAGTGCAATAATAATCGTGGTAACTGCGTAATATGACAATAGTTTATTTTTTGCCATCCAAATTACTTTATTGTTGACAAGTTTTTAATTACATGTTTTTTATTTGAAATCTTATATTTTTTTATTACCATGTACTTAATCATTTTCCCTAAAATTAAACAATTTTGATTAAATAATGAAGAAACAATTCTCCATAGTATTTCAGCATTATTAATAGTTTACAGCAATGGTCTCAAACTCAATTCCTGGAGAGCCGCAGCTTGAGTTGTTGGATCAGCAGTGTTTGGTTAGGGTTGAAGCAAAACTGTGCAGAGCTGCAGCCCTCCAGGAATCAAGTTTGATGATGACAGTGGCTTTAAGGATGATTCAACTTCAGATGCTAATATTGGAAAAGTGAAACGTGCCCTTGTCTCCATCTACTGGTCAACTATCTAACTCTCAAATACTAAAATTAAATCTATTTAGTTTTTATTTTGAGATATTGGCTATTTAATCAAAATTCTTCCTGTCTGTGCACTGCTGCTGTGTGTGTTTCTGTGTGTGTGTTGTCAGTGTAATACTTGCTGAAGGTTGTGATGATCAGATCATGTGGCAGACAGCTCTGAATGATGTATATGAACTATTTCCATTGCCAGAGGCTTGATGATCTGATGCAAGCCACTGTCTCTGATTCACGTAAATGCAATTAGATCAATACTGATGATTCTCGGATTGTCGTAATAGCAGTGAAAGCAAAATCTCTCTGTCTCTCTCAGTGTATCTACATACATAAATGTGAATAGATTTGTTCTCAGCCTCAGTAAAGTCGATGGTATGACCCATGCAATAATGGGATGTGGTCTAGTTTGTGAGAGTTGTTTTTTATATAAACTGTTTTAACATTTTTAGTCAAATCAACAGTATTTCTACAGCGATTTACACACTGTTGATTGGTTTAAAGCCACTTAATATGGATGAACTGGAATAGGATAAGATATTTCCGTTTTTTGGGACATATTTAGCATATCAGTAGTGGTTGAATGCTAGTGTAGTTCAGTTCAATAATATCCCTGTTGAAGGATGATCCAAGGAAGGCCGCATCAACCCCAACAAAGCAGACCAAAGGCAACAATTGCAAGGAATCCAAACTCCACCAGTTGTCATGAATAACGAACAAACGAGAGGAGTCTGCATGCAGACTCGATGCAGTTGCAAGCTGAGCTAAATGTAATGCTTTTCATGCTCACACTTAACCCCACCCCTAACTCTCATATTGGTTTGACTAGCTCCATTGAGGGCATTATTTCTTACATTGCATCTCTGAGATATGCAGTCTTAGCTTGCAAATCAAAATCTACATCCAGATACTATTGAGAACAGACCTTGGGAGAAGCCAGGCACAGTCATGCAACCAGTTCTCCTTTACCCAAATGCACAAAAGGCAGAGTTGCACTTTAAGACGTCGGTAACCTTGGGAGGATAAGCATCCATCACACTGTAAGTAAAGGTCAAAGTAGGTCCCAGATGGGTGTAGCAAAAAGGCTTTAATGTAGGGACACGTCTGTCATTGTGGTCTTTGCTGAATTGTAAAATGTATTGGTTACTTCACATTAAAAATGTGAGTTAACCCATTGCCCTGTACTGTAAATGACAAGGTGAATAGGTAAGAAAACCGACTAAGCCTCTTGTAACTTGGAACATTTAAGTTGACAACTTATGTTTTATTGTTGTACACAGTTTATTTACTTACTGATCACAAGGTATATTTTTTAATCATTCATTTTCTTTTATGGCTTAGTCCCTATATTTATTAATCTGGGGTAGCCACAGCGGAATGAACCACCAACTTATCCAGCACATGTTTCACGCAGCGGATACCCTTCCAGCTGCAACCCATCTCTGGGAAACTTCCATACACACTCATACACTACGGAAAATTTAGCCTACCCAATTCACATGTCTTTGGACTGTGGGGGAAACCAGAGCACCCGGAGGAAACCCATGCGAATGCAGGGAGAACATGCAAACTCCGAACAGAAACATCAACTGACCCAGCTGAGGCTCGAACCAGCGACCTTCTTGCTGTGAGTTGACAGCACTACCTACTGCATCACTGCATCCCTGGTAACTTTATTAGGTAAAGATAAATGATCATGTCTTGTCTTGCATTGTTGAGACATCGATATCTTCTCTGACTGTGTGGGGCTGTGCTGAGTTCGTCCTCTGTCGCAACAACCATCAAGGCTGGATATGGGATGGATCCAAAGAAACAGACAGACTAACATGAGCATAGATGCCATTATTTTTGGTATTTTGGGGTATAGCTTTATAGTTTTTGGTTGCCTTCATTTAAAAAATCAGATTTGAATTTTAAAGTTAAGTTTGTGTTTCACCTGTATGCTCGTGCTAAGAGATGGGTGTTTAATCTAGATTTAATCTGCCAGAGTTGGTAGATGCACTAGGAAGGATCTTCTACCTGTTAGTATTGATATTATGGGATATTCTATGAGAAACCAACATTATCTGTCCCTAAAATAAAAACATAAATACAGTGAACAAAGTATTTTATGCTAAAAATTACTAAAATGGACTGATGGTTGATTTTCTGTGAGTTGTTCTGTAAAGGCATTTGTCATTCATTTGGTTTCCAGATTTATTTTCTTTATTAAAAACAGTTAACAAATGTACAAACCCTGTAATTGTCTTTAACCCAACTGAATCTACAGCTTTAATAGTTCTGTTATGCTAAAAACTAGAACAACAAACTTCAGAAATAGCAGGTTTGAGTTGTTATCCACATCAACTGATTAAAAACATAACAATTATAAATAAATTCTACAAATAAATACTATTTTACAAATGTCCTCATGTTTCTGTCAGTCATGTCATATTTGCATTAAATTTAACATAAAGTGTGTGCAATACACCTTTAAGGCTATAAATTAGAGGAAGTGACATCATTTGATGGAGGAGAAGCTGACAGTGATCAACAATGCATTCAATCATTGAAATATATCATTTCTTCTTGTTTTAATGTGATTTTTTGAGGAGGACAGGCTTAAGTCAGGCCCTGTCACAATTTTGGTAAGTAAAAATGTATATTTTTG